GTGATTGACACATTTGGGACATGAGGCATGAAGTAACATGATCACAATGCGATAAGATAATGTTTATATGACGTTATAAATATTGAGGTGCAAATCGTGGAAATCGGTCGAGAATTGGGTATCAATTGGGTAGGTAATAAATGAACGGTCAAGGAATTAATTCTATAAAATATTTTGGGATCTTAGGGCAAGTAAAGTGAATTGTAAGCACATTAAAATAAACCTAGGATACTTGACTTGTACCTGCAATGATAGGTACAAAACCAGATTTTAACCCCAAGAGACCATCTCATACTTGGAACACATCATGTCTATTGATTTATCCTTTTAATGGTAAATTCCTTCACCCTTGAGCATTAGTCACGTTTACCACTCCTCTAAGACTTCAAATATGTAGCATATTATCCCTAAATTTCATATAAATCGTCCAAGGATTGGTACAAAATCAGAATTTAACTAGAAGAGACAATTCCTACTAAACATGTGATGACTTGTCACTTTAATATCAAATTCCTTTGATCTTAAGGCATCATCAGGTCTTCTAAAGCCCTAGCACTTTATATTGGAGAGATATATCTTATAAGTCACACATGAAACCAAATATGAGAAAGGAAAAGTCCAATATGGCTACATGAAGCCACATCCTGCTTGGACACCTCATGCTTGGAGATACTTTTCCTTTATTAATCACCCATTTCTTCATCGTTAAGTGTCGAGCACGGCCCCAACCCTTTAGACTCTTTATATAGCCCCTAAATAGGACACTATTGTGCATGAAGATGAAAACGATCGTGAATGACATACTTAATCGAAACCGATGTCAATATATCCTGAAACCACATACTCAATGATCTTGACCATCATATGATATACAATGAGCTCCTTATCAAAGTTATGTAAAGATTTCAACATTACTATATCGCAAATACTATATTCTTGCATCGTAGTTGCATATTGATTTTTACTTGCCTTTTTGCCCTTGTTTGTGTACGCGTTTTTATGGATTGTAAATCAATTCTCTTTTTCACTTAAAGTCGGAGAATCACCTGTATTACCATCTAATATTAAGCACAATCTTCAGTTTGGTAATCTTAACACACACAATCCCGTGTTACGTCAATTTATGCCAAAATAATTTAGATGACATTAGCAATTCAAGTTACCGATTGCATTGCAAACTAGTCTTATAAATAACACTATTTCTCGAGTCCAATTATGAACGTCAACATTATCCAATTGTTGTTAACATAGCACTCCTTAAAATGTATTTTTCATGCCTAAATGATAATTAATGGACAGGTAAATGTTGAATCTAAGTTAAATACAAAAATAGTCAGAATCTGTTTTCAGGTTTCCGTCGGTGTCCAAGTACTTTTTTCCAATCATTTTTCACACCCTTAATTATATTCAATAATTCTCAAATTTTTACCACACTTCTATAACATGCTTGTAAAGGTAATCATGTCATAAATTTGTCACAATTGAAGGGTTTACAGCTTCGAAGGCATTCCTTTTTACAGACACCAAATCAAACAATTTCTCTCATGGCTGTTTTGAGTTTCACTTGAATTAGACTTTCAAAAATTGGATTCTAACCTATTAAAGATCATTTTTATACTTCTAACTCTTGTATAAAAACATTCATATTGATAAATATAAGTTATACCCAATGGATTACTTAAAATCAAAAGCTAACCCATTCAAGTCTAGCAATCCACATATCTGTCCAGGTTGTTTTCTTTCAAGTTCTTGTAATTAATTGTCTCTATTTTTGCCATCATAAATTATCAAAACACCTCCAACACGATTTTAATCAAGTCCAGAGGTTCAAGATGCTATAAAGCTCTCAAAAACAATAAAGACATACCTCAAACCAGTGTACTAATTTAGCTGCCCAGAATTCCCAGCTTTCTGTTTTCTATTTTCCTTTAGCCCTTTTGCTTCTTCTTTCACTTGGGGATAACTTGAGGACAACTTTGGGGTTAAGTGTCCTATTTAGGGGCTATATAAAGAATCTTAAGGGTTGGAGTCGTACTTGACACTTAAGGATGAAGAAATTGGTGATTAAAGGACAAGTATCTCCAAGCATGAGGTGTCCAAGCAGGATGTGGCTTCATGCAACCATATTGGACTTTTCATTTCTCATATTTGGTTCCATATGTGACTTAGAAGATATATGTCTCTCCAATATAAAGTGCTAAGGCTTTAGAAAACGTGATGGAGGCCTTAAGATTGAAGGAATTTGATGTTAAAGTGACAAGTCATCCCATGTTAAGTAGGAAGTGTTTCTTTCTAGTTAAATTCTGATTTTGTACCAATCCTTGGACAGTTTATATGAAATTTAGAGATAATATGCTACATATTTGAAGTCTTAGAGGAGGAGTGGTAGACGTAGCTAATGCTTAAGGGTGAAGGAATTTACCATTACAAGGATAAATCAATAGGCAGGAGGTGTACCAAGCATGGCTGATTTTGTACCTATCATTGCAGGTACAAATTAAGTATCATTGGCTTATTTTAATGCGTTTACAATCCACTTTACTTGCCTTAAGATCCCAAAATATTTTATAGAGTGAATTTCTTAACCGTTCATTCATTACCTACCCGATTGACACCCAATTCTCGACCGATTTGCACCTCAATGTGTATAACGTCATATAAACCTTATCTTATCGCATTGTGATCACGTTACTTCATGTCCTAAATGTGTCAATCACTTATCTAGGGTGCTACCTTGATCAATGGAATGGAGAACTTGCAACTTTGTCGATACTAATTCCGGCATTTTCAATATTCTCATTACTTAGCAAGTCAATCTCCAACATTCAGATTAATCTTTTTTCTCTACCATAGCTCAACGTAAAATTCACCACCTAAGTCGAGGAGTAAAGGGCTAACACCATACCAAAGTCTTAAAACCTCAATAATCGAATACATCATTTTAAGGGAAAACAATTAAGAAAATTGATGCAAATGACATTATAAATAACATGAAATGCATGAATCATATTGGCCAAATGTGATATGAAGTTAGGGGTTAAAGTCAAATAGAAGGCTTTTAAAAAGGAAAAAAATTTAATACAGCGCGACTAGGTGCACCTAGACGCTCATTAAGCGGTCAACATGGCAATTGATCGCTTAATTTTGTGCTCACTGCCAAGTCTTAGCTTTTCGTCCACGTCTAACGCGCTTTTTAGAATATTGTTTGTAACCATCCTCCAATTACAATGGTGTATTCTCCTTCTCGTTTTTATCCCATATAGGTAGAAAAAAGAAAATAAGAACCAGTAAAACATTTTGAGTTATAATAAACAACTCAAAAATCCAAGGCCAATAATTCAATGTTTGAAAATGCATAGCAAAAGGGAATTCAGGTGCGGATTTTGAAGCATTTTATGATGTGAGGCGGGATTCAAGTCATAAGCCTAGTTTTTTTAAACAATGATTTACGTCCATATGGTGGAAATGCTTAACCACACAAATGTCTTACACGTCTTATTAGTTTTTTCTTCTGGGCTAAGGATTGATTGTGAATTTGCACTGAACAAGTAGGATGGGTATAGTTCCCCAAATCTGGACCTGCTGGTTCTCTTCAGTTCCAAAGAAGGGGTAAATACATACAGGGTTTCCCAATCCGAGAACTAGCTGCTTTGGTCTAGCTTCCTAGAGAACCGAACTGATTTTATTTTTTATTCTATATCTTTTGTTTTGTAGAAATATAAATATGTTGTTTGTAGATAGGTTCAATTATAATGTTCTGCTTTCACCTAACTTTGCCCGCTCAAAGCCCTAATCTTCAGTTCATCTCTTCTTTAACACATCCAATATCTACATTTTTTAGTTTCTGAGTTGTGTTTAAGATAGATCCTGAGAACACTCGAACATTCTTAGCTTTAAAGTTACCAAATCAAAAGGCTGAGACAAGTGAAAAGCCAGCCTAGAAAAGGCAAGAATGAGGAGTGCACTCCTTAGCTGCCATAAGGCATGCATCTCAGCAAGGTGAGACGTAAGTCTTGACAAGTAGTACTTAGAATGCGCTTGATGAAATTCTTGCACCTAGATGTGCCGGGAGGCATTTACCTGCTTTCGTTTGGAATGAGTGAACCATTTATGAATGATAATAGGAAAATGAATGATTTTTAAAGATTATAGTGGGAAAATAAGAAGAATGTAAACAGTTAAATGAAAAGTAATACTCGACAATAAAATAAAATGGATCGCACACTCAACCAGTATAAAACCAATTTTGTCTGCAAATGTCGAAGATGATTTAGGGAGTAAACGCAGATATATAGGAAATTTTGAGTTTGAGCAAAATAAACAGCTAACGAACTTGATTAAGCCTAAGCTAAATTTCACATCTATCTTATCATCTATATTCTTCTGAACATCTCAGGAATCTGTAGGAGGTTATATGGTTGCATTTGCTGGTCGAAAATATGCTGCAAGGTCCATTCCTGCTTTTGTTGCAAACAGTACATTCACCGTAACTAGTTTTACTCTGGTAAGAAGATAGTCATTACCCCTCAATTTCTGACCTGGTACGAATTCACTTTGTATCTGAGTGGATCATTTTCACGTTGATGCAGGTTCTCGAATTCAAAAAGGGCAGGCTGCAGAACTTGTACTGGAAAAGAGATGGCTGCACTTCTTGCTCAGGCAATTCTAACTTTGTTTGTCTCAACAATCAAGACTGCGCAATCAGAACTAATAACTGTAAAAACCGAGGGGGTTCCGTAGATTGTAGCCTCGGTATTCAACTGACATTTTCTGGTACAGATAAGCACAATTCAGTTTTGAACTCGTGGTATGAAGTTCAGAATCTTCGGCAGTATTCCCTTTATGGTCTTTATTCCAATCTCAGGGATTCTCTCACCAGTCAATATAACAAATTCTTTTAGTTTTCTTTAGTGTTTGGTAGGTTTTTCCTGTGTGATTTGCTGTTTTAAGTATGTAATTTGTTATTCTCAACCTCTATACTTGCTGTTCTTGTATTCTGCAGAATCTGGATGGTTATGTATATTTGAATTCCTTCACGAATTGACTAATGAAAACGATGTTTTGGATTTTGAACGAGTGTTTCACGGCCAGCTGTATCTTATTGTTGAATTTGAATGAATACATTTTTAACTTTACATTGTCTCTGAAGTTAATATTATTATTGTATGCTACATGTATTAAATTCCAACTATCTTTTTCCATGTAATAATGGCAACTAGTTATTATCACTGCAGTGTGGTTTTACAAGTTTATGTTAAAAAAAAAAAATAAATAAATAATAATAATAATAAAAATAATAATAAAAATAATAATAATAATAAAATAAAAAAAAATAATGAGAGTTCTAATGAATATGTTTTAGCTGGAGTATTTCAATCATGTACTTTGGGATGTGCTTGCATAGTTTAGTTATTAAGGTTGTTTCTTATCAAAATGCGTATTTGGATACTTATCTAATTGATTTTTATTCAGAAACTGATGATGTTGGGTCAGCAAAATTGGTTTTTGATGATATGAATTTGAAAAATGTGGGGACGTCGTCCTGACGAGTTTTGCTAAAAGTGGAAAGGGCGATATTTCACTGGATTTCTCTAGGCAGATGGTCGAAACTGATATTGTTCCTAATAAAATTTGGTTGCGTGTTCTATGCTTGAGTTTCTTGAAGGGGGAAAGCAAGTTCATGCTTATGGTTAAGAGGGGTGGAGACATGGACGCTTCCCCGAGTGATGTGATTAGGTGAGGACATGGACGCTTCACTGACTAATGTGATTATGAAAGCTGGACAAAAGTTTTCACCAAATGGTGGTTAAGGATGTGATTTCCTGGACAATGATTTTTGGGTATATGCAGAGTGGCTTTGATTTTGAGGCTATGAACAGACTGGATTTTAAACCAAGTGGATTTGCTTGCACTATTGTCCTCACTTCGTGTACTTCTGTTGTGGCTCTGAAGCAGGGTGGAGAAATACATGCTTATATTATGAAGATCAATCTTAGCCTTTGTTTGTCTTCCATTCTTAAAAAAAAAAAAAATTACTTATTCATTTTAAACCTCACATTTACATAATAAAATATTATATACGTAAACCCAAATTTTTTCCTACTTTTTTACCATACATCCTCCAAACAATGGCATATTCTCGGTGCATGCCAAGTTTTTGGTAATATGAAACTGGTTGAATATGCTACTGAGATGGCCATTTCAATTGACCCAGAGGACGGCAGTTAATATACTTTACTCTCTAATCTCTTTGCATCTAAAAGCATATGGATTGATGCAAAGAAGGTAAGGGGGAGAGTGGAGAAAAATAGGATTGTGAAAGAAATCGGACATATTTGGATAGAACAAAACAATAAAAGTGCACCTAATCTTTACAAGAGATAGAATTCATCACGATGTTGATTTGATTTGTACTTTTTGACTTTTGTTATCGAGTCAAAGTAAAACATATTTTGTGGTCTCGTAAGTTACTGATACAAATTTTTTAAATAGGGTAATGATGATTGAACATGTTTAAAGACGTGAAGAAAAAAACAGATTGAGTTGGCAACACCTGTTCGGATTCTTTTTTCAAACTGTCCAATCATATATTAACACGTATCTTTTTTTTTTGTTTAGTCTGTCTATGTAGCATGATTGTTTTATATAATTACTAATAATCAACCGGTTTAATACTTTTCATTTTTTTTCTCCTTAAAAAAGTTGTCCAATCATTATGTACGTTATGATCATTAGATTATTATTCGAATTCTAGTCCTGCCAGTCTCATTTTATCTCTAGCTGTCTTTCCATCTCTAGAAACACAGTAATCAATTTTAATGATACACGAAGCATATCGAAACCAGAAAAAATTCAAAGAAATTTAACGTCTGTTCTCTTTATTATTTTCAAGTCATTTTCAATTTTTCTTATCTCGAAAATACTAAAAATACGTTTACTTACCTATTTTCAGAAACGAACTTCCAAAAATAAATTTAAAATTTACAAAGAAAACGAAAAACGTCAAAAATGTCGTTTGACTGTTTTCTATTAAAATCAAGCCAAATTTTCATCTTTTTATTTTTGAATGTAATTTTTTAAAATGACAAAAAGATGCATTTTTAATCAAAAGGACACTCAAAACATGAAATCAAAATGAAGTCAAAACTCAAAACTAAAAATTGAAATTCAGGGTTCCAAAGTCAATTTCTTCTCCTGCTCTAACTCCAGTTATGTACATTCCCTCTATTTCTCCCCAATCTCCAAATTTTCGGAGAAAACTATAAAGTCGTACAGAAAATATCATTCCCAGAATCCTAACGGAGGAATATTCACCTTGATTTTTCCATTACCCTTTCAAGCCTCCTTCGAGCTCGAGGCGCCCGCACGTGCTTGTGGGCTTTTAGGTGTATTTTGAATATAGTAATATGGATATTGTAAAAAATGATAGTTGTCGGAATTGTGGGTTTTTTCTTAATTTTCTTTGTAGGAAATATTTTTGCTGCAAGTTATTTGAGGGAATTGAGGTTTAAAGATTTTACTAATAATCTTGAGGGACGAATTTATTGTTATTAAAATATATACAGAGGGAGGTCTGGAGGCGTTTGATTTTGTAAATACATGTGGAAATTATTTGATTTTGTGTATCAAACTAGCTTATTGGAGTGTTGAATTTGAATTGAGATGTTTGAGATTTAGTTAATGTGTGTTGATCTATGGATTCTGAGGATATGCCCCCGTCAATTTGTCTGGGTGAATGTTGCAATTGCGGGTGTAGCTGTTCGACGATGAATGGGTCATTTTCGGTTACTTGTCTCCGGTCTGTGAAACGAAAGGTGGATGAATTTAAAGAAGAGAAACGGTTCACAGTCCCAGGACTCATTATACCACAAAATGCTCGTGTGGAATTAGGAAATGAGTGTATGGCATTGCGGGAAACAGTCAGCAGCCAGCAGCAGACCATTCAGGACCTCATAGTTGAGTTGGAGGAGGAGAGGAATGCAGCCTCTTCAGCTGCCAATGAGGCCATGTCGATGATTCTGAGGTTGCAGAGGGAGAAAGCAGAGATTCAGATAGAGGCTAAGCAGTTTAAGAGGTTTGTAGAGGAGAAAATGGTTCATGATCAGCAGGAGTTGCTGGCGTTGGAAGATTTACTCTATAAGAGGGAGCAATCCATTCAATCCCTTACATGTGAGGTGCAAGCCTATAAGCATAGGATGATGAGTTATGGCCTGACCGAGGCTGAGGCAGATGGAGAGAACAATATGAGCCGGAACAACAGTATGGCGGAGAACCTTAATGGGCAATTTGAATTACCCCCTTACGAGCTTTACCCTGCTCTGAAGTGCAATTTTCATGAGTCCCAGGCTAATCCTGATGGTGATGATGAAGCTGCAGATGTTGAGAAATATGCATTTGGGGAAACACCAGGTTCTCAGGTTCAATTGAAAGATTTGGAATACCGAATCGATCAATTAGAAAAAAGTCCTAAGAACATTCAGCCTGAAGCAGAACTTTTTGGTGCCAAAAATATGCTTGAAAAGGTGATAGTAGGTCAGTCCCCAAGGCGGCCTAGGCATTCTAGGAAGTTCTCAGACGATAGTTCAAATTCCTTTTTTGCAACAGGTGAAGATTTGGATCCAGATTCCTTCACAGATTCTCCAAAACTTTCGGGAAGTTTTAGGAACAGATTTTCACAGATGGAGAATTCTAATTTCAAGAAGATGGATAATGCATCAGAAGTTGGAGAGGACATGAGTGACAGAGTTTATACAATTGATTCTGTTCACCAGGAGGCTCCATATAATGGTCTGATGGAGCCCAAGGCTTCTGTTGGAATGGGGGATGACTATACGGCGACGGCTCCAAGCAAGTCACTGAATTTTTCGGATGTTAAAGATTTAGATATCCAGAAGCTGTATGCTAGGCTTCAGGCTCTTGAAGCCGATAGAGAATCAATGAGACAGGCAATTATTTCTATTGGGACTGATAAAGCACAATTTGTGTTGTTGAAGGAGATAGCTCAAAACTTGTGTAAAGAAATGACTCCGGAGAGAAGGATGACTGTGAAGAAGCCAGCAGTAGTTCGAAGTTTTTCCTTTATGGCAATATTCAAGGTAATCCAATATGCACATTGACAATCATTTCTTCATTTAGTTCTGATGGGATCTAATTAGGGATTAATTTGTTGCATGCCTCCAATTATGACGTGTTTGTACTTCATTCTGCTCAATGCAGTTTGATAAGTTTGATATCTGAAAACTCTGCATTTGTAGCACGTCTGATTCTGTTAAATTGGACTATAAGTTTGAACTATACTGGGTTCAATATGGAAATAATTTCTGAGGTTTTCCTTGACTTTGTCCGTTTCAACAAACAATTCGAAGTATCTCGACATTTTTATAACAGGCCCAAGTCAAATAGCAATGATTCGAAACACTTCTTTTTACACTATTTCAAAAACCCGAGGACCTGCTGATCTACCTCGTGGATGGATAGATAAATGTTTAGATTTTTGCAATTATTTTTTAACACAGGTTTTTGAATATCAAAAGCTTGTTACACGAAATCCGAACAGATTTTGTTGAATGAATTGATCCATTGTTGTATGCCCTACTTCTTAGTGAATTTTTTCCTACTTGGACCCGTCGTTCCTACACTTTGATTTGAATTGATTGAGAAAGTTGGTTCCGTAGCATTAGAAACTTAAGCATTCGAAAAGAACGAGGAATGAGGACATGGAAAAGAAGATATGGTCTTAGACCTTATCTTAGTTGTTTAAATAAGGCAGGGGCTAGGTCACTTTCCCTGGATTCACTTGAGCCAGGAAACTGGATAATTGAGGACACATGAAACATAAAGATATGAGAAGGGTTTGAGTGATTCCAACTAAGAGTATTTCCACTCTAAAGAAGGTTGAAAAAACGCCTTTCCATTTTCTCTCATTTCAATCTCGACGAGTTCAATGTGTCTACAAGACTCAATCAAAGTTGTTCATCCCCCGTCTCAAGTAAGAACCAACCAGACTGACGTAGTGCATAAATCAAGAATACAAAAACAAAAACAGCAATTGGATCAAAGTATGTGATTGCATGGTAAGGTCATAATTGAACTGATCTAGCAAGCTCGCATTAACGTAACATGAAACCTATTAATCCGAAAGAGCCATGGAGAGTAACAAAGGTCTATTGTATGCCTAATTGACACCAACGAATAAAATCTCATTGTGCTTTAGGACCACACAGTAATAATAAAGAATACACTAAACTATTAGCAAGACTAGAAACTGCGGCCGTTGAGAAATTATAGCCTTTCAAAAGGAACTGGCCAATCCATGGGTGCATATGAAGTTACAAAGTTTGTACTTGTGTACCATCTCTTACAACGAAATAGGCACTAATAATGGTCCCAATCCTACCAGTTCCAGCGAGAGTAAGACCAGCCAAGATTACCATTATAGTCGACCATAAAACCATTTGGCTTTGTTAACTAGTAATTAATTACCCCCTATTTGTGCGGTGGTAAGAAAGGGAAAAAAAGAATGGATAGACTTGCAACACTATCACGTCTAACTATACCCAATCCTATATCATATTAAAAGAAAAACGACTTTGTCTTGATCTTCAACGGATAGCGGGAATCAAACCCGTATCTTATCCTTGACAAAGAGAAATTATATTGTACGACCATATTCACAATTTTCGTGCCTCTCGCTATCCTTAGTAAGAGAGGGAGGACTTGATGTAACTACTATTAGACCTCCAATCCAGAAAGATTCTATAATCATTATGAGCGGATAAACCTTTCATTTCCCTTCTATAGAAAGGTTGCCCATTTCTCCTCTGGTAGTTCACTCCCACCCAGTTACCTACAATTTGTATATACTTTTTAAAATAGAGAGAGAGCTAGGAGTACGATCATGATAAATTTTACAAGTCATTTTCGGATGTAATTGAAGGCAAAGAGGAAAAATTTCGTGAGACTTTGTTGGGAAAATGGGTTGATTATTCAAATTCTTCCATCATTATCGTGGGTCCTTCACTTTCATTGCATCGATGTGGATTACCGCCCGAAATAGCAATAGAGCTTTTCTAGATATTTGTATTTCTAGATAGTAAGAGATTATGATCTACATTTTATCCAGTTAAGTTGATAATGAAATCATTGGCCAAGGTGAACTCATAAGGCAAAAGGGATTTTCGACTTACATTGATTTAACACAGGGATAAAAGATATGGTCGATAATTGAGATTGATACATATCCTTATCTCATAATTGATTGGATCATATTGACGAAAGGATTATAATTTCACGGCAAACGAACAAGTTTAGTTTGTCACATCACATGACATTTCCCATAACATGTATTGCCCGACACATTGTTAGATGTCAATTTGGGACGATGAATGTGAATCAATGATAAATTAAAAGGGATGTTTTAATTTTTCAATTTTGATTAGATCAAAATAATTATTCACGTCGTTGGCATCGTGATCGTGAACCTAATGGGTCACACACAGAAGAGAACCAGAAGAATGAGATTTACCAATTAATTAATTGACAAGTGGTGAATAATTAATTAATTGGATTNTGTACAATTAATTAATCGGGTTACTTGTTAATAGGCGCGAAGTAATTAATTGGATTAATTAATTCATGGACCGGATTTAATTAATTTGATTAATTAAATATCGGATTAGGTTAAGTTTAGAGATGACCCAAACCCATTTAGGCTTATATTAATAGGCTGCTAGGGTTTGTAAATTGTAGAGATTTTTCATTATTCTTGCTAGCACAAGAAAAGAAAACCCTAGCCGTCATTCTTGTTCTATGTGTGGATCACCATTGGAGGCTAGATAATTGGACAGCTTGGATTGCAGATCATGATTAATGAAGTTCAAGAATCAGCAAAAGAGTTTGCAAAATTCATCAAAGGTATTATTCTCAACACAGTTTCTATCTAAACACAAAGCGGATCCGCGGTGAGAATTGAAAAATTATTAATTTTCCTCTTTGCGTGTTAAGTAAATTCCCAACAATGGTATTAGAACCTACTTTATGTTTGTTAGAAATTGTTTTGCATCATATAATATTATCCAATCAGTTTGATTGTATGAAATGCCACTATCATTTTATCAGTTTTTCCTTGTTCTAGAATCATGCCACACTTTTGTTCATAACTACTTGCTATATATTATCTTATGTTTATTTTCAGTGGATCATAACCTTGATTTTCTGGAGAAGAAAAGTGCGGAGATGCAGGTGAGTATATCTTTACTGAACTCTGTAATAAAGATATCTGTTCATTGAGTAATTGCTTTGTTAGGTTGATTATTTCTATTTTCTATATATCTTTATTTCCACTTAAGCAAACTGTTTCAGCAATTAGGATGTACAACTGCTGGTCAATTTTTTTAAACTACTAAACAGTAGTTGTCATAAAATGTTATTCTCCTTATTTTACTTTAGACATTGACTAGCATTTTGCATTTGAGGACAACAATTTGTATTTTAGTAGTATTAGAGAGAAGTAACATAATTCTTGACCCCGGAACTATGGCAGCCCGTGTCAAGGGTACTCAGATATGTAACTAGATATGCAAACTTGGATCAATATACCTGTCGCTTGAGTAGTAGGAGAAAAACTGAATGAGAGGATTGTATGCAGGACAGACATTTATTCATCTGATAATTTATGCCCAAGTTAGGCCATCATTTTGTCTTGTTGTAATTAGCAAGTTCTTTTCTGAAGCCAATGAAGAAAATGTAACTAAACTAAACAATTTTTTCTTATGATTTTAGATACATGTTCGGGTTATCGAGTCACAACGCAGGCTTGCTCATGCTCATAGACCGGGAACCTCGAGTGGGGCAGTGGAGATGTCTTTCAAGTACACAAGTGTGAAACCAATGCCAAGTGCTCCTTATCCCATGCGAATATTATGGCCATGAATTTGAACACGGGAAATGATCGGTACACATAACTGGATAGGGTTCAACAGTACTGTGGACAAGATCTTTAGCTCTCTTTCTTTTTTAATACTGTCGAGTACTATTCCACCTTATCAAACATGCTGTGACAGGATTCTAATAACACAATCCATCTTTGAGGTATGCATATCTTTTGGATTCCTTGTTAGTGCCGAATTGAATCGTTTGCTGTGTGCTTTTACTTCCACTTGTTGGTGTAGGGTGCATTTTACTGGTTTTATCTGCATATATTGTATTCTTCTGTGTGAATTCTCATTGGGTTCGGGGCACGTTATTAGTTCGTTCCCTTCTGTATATTACACATTTATGTATGATTTCTCAATCAAAATACCAATGTCTATTCTTTTCTTACTGAAGCATTTGCAATATACGGTGCGGACAGGTCTTGGTACATTACTTCTACTTCCCTGTGTTCTGCTTTATTTCTTTTACTTTAGTCGAAAGATTTCATATTTCTCGTGCAATTTATGCAGTCAATTGTGATTGGTAAGATATTAAGATTACATTTTCAATGGTGCGGTGATTTGGAATATTCTCAGATAAAACTAGTTGGTTCTAAGTGAAAGACGAGCCAGTCGAACTGGCCAGTTTGTTTAAGTTTAGTCCGATGCTAGTCTAGTTCAGTCACATATAATGAACATTCATTGAACCTATATATTTGTTTTCAGTTCAACTTCATAATTTAGGAAAACGCAGTGCAAATATATATTTGAAAGACGCTGCTATAATAATTATTGTACTTCTTGAAAAGCATTCATGTATAGTTTCTTTACATTTTTCATCTAATACTTGAGACAAATGACGACAATCAGTTCACATAAAGATTATTAAGTCGCCCCGTTTCAAAATTCCTCTACTAGAGTTCATCACAAAGACAGAAGAAAAGTAAAAATCGAGAAAAAAGCATCTCGCAACATCTCATTGCCCCATTGTGGTATTCAGATGACACATTTCTTTTCCTGTTGAGCTGTCAAGATTTCCCTATGACGTCCAGTATGGATCTTCTCACGCAAGTGTCCTTAACCAACCTAGTAGCCCCAGTAGAGCAGTATCCAGCATTGGATTTTTCTTCTCAAACCCTATTGAAAAGACGAAGGAAACAAAACCATTGAAACCGTACTTAGAAATAAGCTAAATATTGTGTACCTGATCATAAATAATAATAGATTGATTTGATTAGGATAAAAACTTGACAAGCTTGAGAAAAAGATTATCGGAAAATATGCTATCCATTTACTCATCAAGAAGATGCATTGAATAAACACTCGAGTAATTTCTTTATACTTACTGGCAAAAAAAGTACACAAAAGTAAGATTTTACACTCAAAATTTGAAAAAGTAACTTATAAAAACCATCAAACATGTTTGGCAAAAACTTGAAATAGGAACCAAACATTCTCTTTTCACCATCTTACCTAAGTCAGCAGCCACTCGATGTGCACACATTACTCCTGAAAAGGCTACTGCTATAACACCTTGCCCCGGAAAGCAGCTATCTCCCACACAATACAGACCATTTACAGCCTACAAAGTCATAACATGAGTACTTTGTGTGCTACAAAAGTAGAGTATCACCTTTTTCTTCATTTGTAGAGTAAGTGCAGAAACAAAAGTAAAAGTAATTCACCTACAGTTGTGTTGAACGGCATTCCTATTAAGCCCTTTGGGATTCGACGTGGTATTGGTCCATAGGTACCACTATCACGAGCCAGGTACCGCCTGTGTGTTTTCGGTGTTCCTACCTGCCATATTAGCACCATAGGGATGTATGAACAAATTTTGAAGCCTGAATTGACATAACAAACAAAGATAAGGCTATTTACTTCATCAGCTAATAACATGGTACTGTGGCTGAATTTTGATTTCTCTACTTTCTGACAGGTACAAATATTAGTTACTGTCCTTCAGGGTAAAAAAAAAAGAAACCTTGAGGAGTGGAAAAGAGGAGCTTATCAAATGATCGACATAAATAGATAGGCAATAACGATTTGGCCACAAAAGTAACGCACTCAAACAAGACTGCATCTCTCAGAGTACAGAAGTTTGGAAAGTAAGGCCGGCTTTTTATTAGAAAACTATGTTGCCCTATGCTAAAATTTGGAAAAGATATTCCGGGGACCCAAAATTTTCAGTAGCGTAAACCCGACTACTAAAGTCACTCAATATTTGGTTTCAAGATTTTTTCAACTTCTCTATTCTTCTGTTCAGTTTGAACGTGCATTCCATAATTCATCAGGATTTGAAGCTTCAATCACGTATTCGAATGTCTAAGAAATGCTTGGGTGGAATTCCTGACTCATACCTCCTTAAAAACAATGGATGACTTGAGCCCTGGGAATAGTTTTTTCTCAAGCCTGCTAATTATTTTTTCTGCCACAAGTTCCTTCTTTGCCTCGTAATCCTTGCGGGAAAGACCCTGAAAGGAAAATGCCATTTCAATATTAGGTTGAAAAATAAACAAAAGAAAACATTGATTAACAAAAGATAACCATTTTACAGTAAAATATCAAGTAATCGTACCTCCCAGTCTTCTATGGAAGAAGTTGTAAAAATGTGAAGAATATGGTTCCCCACTGGAGCTAATGACGAATCAAGAACAGTTGGGATGCTCAAGAATATACTTCCATATGACTTTTCTAAATTCTTCCAATCATCCTACATCAAGGACGGAAAGATTTGAATCCAACAGGGGAAAAAAATATATAAAATAGAAAAGAAATCACTCTTTCAAATCCTCTGAAATTGCCGCAGTACCTCAAGGATGAAATGGTGACAATCTGTGTCTGATGGCAAAACATCAGCTTTAACTGCCATGTGAATAGAAAGAAAAGATGGCGCTTTAACATATGCCTTTTGGAATCTTTCTTCCTCTTCAGGAAGATCTTCCTTTTTCAGGAGCTTGCCTAAAAAATTTATAAATTTAACATGATCGGCAACTTTCTAAGAAGATGAAAGAAAATTGTGCATCAAACAGAAGTAGGACGTGATCAAATATTTCGTGAAAATTTGGAAGGTTTCTGAAAATTAACCAAAAGTATCCCATCTAGTAGCATTCGATATAATGGTTTTAGCATAAAACTGCCTTCCATCTGACAGCTTCACCCCCACCTACAAGAAAAGTGGTACAATATATTATATTTTCATGCTTTAATGATCAAATAAGACGTGAAGAAATGAAAATACTGCCAATGAGGACCCGAAGGGCACTTGAACTCACAGCTTTTCCATTTTGAAGGATAATATTTGTTACATTTGCTTTGTAAAGTATCTCACTCCCCTGATTAACCAACCCTTTTGCTAATGACTTTGCAATTTCTCCAACTCCACCGACAGGGTAGTTGATTCCCCCGAAATGTCTGTCGCACAAAACCTAAGGTAAAGAATGTGTAAGAAAAAAATATATGGATAAAAATTTAAATGGAAGGAAAGCTAATAAACTAGATTACCATCCCTGCATTGATCATTGGTGTCTGCATGGAATTCACTGTACTCACAATGAAACACTGCCAATAAAACCAACAAAATTGATTTCTACAGTTGAAGGCGGCAAGTCATAGTGCCCAAGTCCAAAAACTTTGAAAATATAAATTACAACCCACCTCTGCATCAATGAAGGATAGCAACTGCGGATCCTTTATATAATTTCTAGCTATGTCACCCACATTCTGGGGCAAATAGTAGGCTGAGATGAAAGTCAAAAGCGTCCATCAAAATAAAGATGTAAGCAAGCTGAAGTTTATGGTACAAAGATTCGAGCATTAACCGAAGTGGAATTGAAATAAAGGATATCCAACTTGTTAGGGTATACCATCTGCAGGTTTGGATGAGCTTGAAATGTTTAAGTATCACACATATAAGGTTGAAATTTACATCCCCGATGCATAAAATGCAAAAGTGATCATATGTTTGAAATATAGAAACTTTCCCAAGCTTGTAGTGTTTAATACTAGTATATCCAACAATATTAGTTAGGTGTACTTTTATATAGTCATAAATGACATTTTTTTCTTTGATAAGTGTTGAAATAAAAGAATAAGAAGGCTTAACTATTGTTTTAGCATCTCACACTATTTATAATAAAAACTTAGGAAATCTTAGGTATTACATAAAAGACTTAAATACCCTTTAACACTCCCCCTCAAGTTGGAGCATATATATTGTATGCTCCAA